TCAAAAGCTGTGTCCTTATTTCCATTTGGCTTGAAGCTTGTAGACTGCTTTAGTGAATCCGGTTAAGCATAAGGAGAGAAAATCTTATGCTTGAGAACAACTTTTAGGCATTGCTTCACTGTGTAGTTCTATGCGCCCATTAACAACGATATAATCTGGTTTTGCGTGTGTATTTCTGTATATCTTGTGCTTATGCTACAGCTTTACAAGTAATGATACTTCTTCGTTTTGTCCTCACTAGGAATCGATTAGGAAATCATTGTAACATTCAGAACAATGATCTTTAAGAGTTCTGTATGAGCCATTTTGTTATTTTGTTGAGCATTCTATCAATTCCCTTCATGAATATATATCTGTGTGAACACTTCTCCTTGAATCATCAAACATGACATGATTTTCAAGAATGTGGTAGTTGCATTGGTGATTTCTAAAAAAGTCTTTGTATGCTTAATTCAGCAAGGCGATGGAGAAGGTGATGAATAGTAAGGCAATGATTGAAGCCATTGGAGAGCCAATTGAAAAAGGGCCATGGTACAATGCATCACTAGCTGTTTCTCACCAAAGGCACTCAGTGTCTTGTTCGTTTCCTGTGATTGGACCACAAGGCACCGGAATCTTGCATCTCAAAGCTGTTCGCAATGGAGGTAAACTTCTCAGAGGCACTAATCTCGCCAGTACTTTCATTTGCCATTTGTTTCTGACTCACTGGATCATGTTTTTGCTTTTTCTTTTGGTTTCTTGGAACAGAAGATAGCTTGTTTGGGTTTCTACAGCAAAAGGACTGGGAGATTCTGATAATGGACGCACTTGTCCACGTACCTTCAAACGATGGACCTCAACAAACACTGAGAATCAACGTCTCGGACTCTGACATTGTTGCTCCTTCAGCTGGTACCGACTTGAAACCTTCTAAACCAGAAGAGCCAGAGAAGAGCTAAGGAGAGGATGACCGCTAAGTACAGTAGGCACGCTTGCTGAAGCTCCTGTCTAGGGTTTTATTCCATTCCATTATTTCTTGTGCCAAAAGCATCCCAACGGAAACTTGGATCTTTTTTTTACTGACCAATAAACACATCCTTTTTCAAGGACTATACAAAAGTTCAATACATGATTGGTAAAAGACTAGTGAAAAAACTGAATTGCCATGTGCGTCTGGAATGTGGACGCAGAGAGACGCCTTTGTTGCTCTGTTAAATGTTTTTTTTGTTATATTTCTTTCTTTTACATTCAGTTTCCGACTATTGCCCTCTAGATAATTAAGAGGAAAATGAATAAAAAGAATGTATTTATATATCTATCTAGCCAATAAATTCCATCGTATTTGCAAGCCTGTCTACAATTTTAGGCAAGTAAGAACAGAACTTTGTGTTGTGTCTGCAATCATGACATTCCCCGACCAATTCATATGTTGGCCTCTTCACTCTGTCCTTTACTGAATTCAGTACATTACATGACTATATTTTCGAGCCACCGATTCAGAAAACAGACCTCGAACTAAAGTGGCTATTGTTATGACTTGATCAGAACAAGCTTACACAACAACAAAAATATTGAACTGAAAGAATTGGGAGGGGCCGCGCGAACGCAGGCCCCAACTGCCACAAATAATGACGCAGGCTCTTCCACTTGGGAAGACCTTAAGCTAAGCACCCTTCCTTTATGTGCAATGGAAGCCACTAGCTTAGGCCACTCGTCTTCATGATCACGAGTTGACCCCGTCCAGGTAAGTATCTTTCACAGATGCACCTTCTTCTTCTTTTATACTACTCCACAGACCAATGTCTCATTCTTATCTTCCGATGTGGGACAAGTGATTCATTCATTAACCCTAGTGTCATTCCTTGATGGGCCTCATTGATTACATTACGGCCCATATAAAACCCACTTGA